CTTCCGGAGTGGACCCTTCATGCACATCAGAGGTTCACACATGCCGGCGCAACATCTTATTCCGATAAGATGTTCACCAGTTCTCGTCTCCTGGGTCAGGAGGAACCTACGTTTCTTCATATGGTTAAGCTGGTGCACGTGATGAAATACTGAGCACTTCTGAGAACTCAAAAAATATCGAGTTTCCTTGCGTTCCTTCATTCTCTTATTCAGTAGTATTATCTTCAATTATTCTTCACTGGTGAAATGTGCCAACGTGTCGCAAAGCTAAATTATCGGTCCGAAAAACCTCAGCGTTGTGGCAGTCCTGGGTGCATCGTTTCTGCTTCGGACAAAAACGCATTGAGTAATTCCGGGTTAATTACATAAAGCATGTGGAAATTTCGTCCTGTAAGTAAAGCCAATCTATGCTAGAAAGCCGAGAAGCGCTGCACAGCTATTCCACCCTTATTGGGAATCATCAGCAGTGTGCATATCACGAAACTGCGGAGAGTCTCGAGCATGCGACCTCCTGGTCAGTAGTTTGAATACTGAACCGTTCGGCCACGAGTTGCAGTGTGATTAACTCGCACTAAGACAGGATATAGCGTTGCTCATGCTTCAATCACGTCAGGAGGTCATACGCGTTGACTGGCTCCTCGAGCAACGACTTCTCAGGTAGAAGTTTCACTCATCGAATGAAGTTTATTCTTCCACTGAACCTTTTTTGAAGACGCCAAATTCACAACATTTTTGGAATATATGATGGGTGGGTTTTTGTGTACAATATTCCACCGCAGGTGACGCAGCGCACATTGCATTAAGCAACATGTTGTGATATCAAAACGGTCTAATTTAAAAATCGGGTTCCATCGCCTCGCGGTTTGTTAGCATTGTGCATGCGTTGTTAACAAGTACTCTTCCGTCATTCTGACAGCCAGTATAGAGAAAACCATAGTCATACTATTGTGGATATATCCTAAAATAATCCGTGCTACTTTATAAACTATCAAGCATTTCGCAGTGTTTCTAAACGGAACAAGATGAGATATCAGCGAAAAAATGGGCATAAACATGTGAAAAAATTTTTCCAAGTTTTAAAACTATCAACACGGTCTGGAAACAACAACAACGGACGTTCGGAATTTGCGGTTTTTTCACTAGGTTTGAAGATTTGCTTTTACAAATGTTTCGCTTGCACCAGCTCCCCTCAGTTTGGTTTGACAGTTTTGGCTTATTTTTGTCAGACAAAAACATACGACAGGGCGTTGGCTCTAGTAATAACTAAACACCACCAAATATGTTTGGTCCTCTGGTCATATGAGCACATTTTATTTGAAATTAGACAGAAGCAAATTATTGGTTCATAAAGGAAAAATCTCACGAGGTAGCTGTAAATTATTCGTCAGCCGGCGACCGGTTTCGCCATTCTTGG